CAAAAAAACAAAGCTAAATGCCGATAAATTGGCAATGCTGATTACAACAGCTTTGAAAAAATACGTATTTTACGAAAAGATACCTCAGGATGTAAACATTGACTAGCCTTAAGTAGTTAAAAACCGTAGCAACGCATAAGCTCATTCGATGATTAGAGTTCGAAGTGGTGAAACATGATTAAGCAGCTACAAAAATAAAAACAGAATCCAAATATAACAGCCCATGCATGACATCAATGTGATATAACGTGAAGGATGGTTGTTAACCGCGACAGTGGTCTCGGAATAATGACAAACATCGAAAAATATCAACGAAGGGAAAAGCGCGGCCAAAGTAGACATATAAAGAAACTCGAAAACCATAAAATCATGATATAGTCATGTACTGTACACATATATCCAAAGGAACATCATATCGCATTATGACTTAAGACCCCGCATGCTGATTGCCTCTACCTTGAAGTAGATCGTGCTGGACGATCGTCCTGTGCGCTAGAGACAATCTCCTCAAGCCGCTGAAGGGCTTTCTGCTCTTGTTGTGATAACTTTCGCATAGCCTCGCGATGTTCCAGCTGCTTCTGTTCCATCATTTGTTCAACACTAAAAATTATTATTGACTAAGAATTGTATGACGAACTCAAAACAAGGGAATTTTCAACGAAAAAATTAGTTCATTACGAAAATTCACGAACTTTTGGCTTTCCGTGTACAAAGCGAGAAAGTAGGTAAGTTTCGGTCCTATCCTTATGTAGAGTACCGGTATACTTACCCGATCGAAAAACGTTTTCTTTCTTTATTGAACACTTCTTGCGTAGATTCGCTCATGTCGTGAATCTTTTTCTCTCGTTCTTGCCGGGAACGCAGTGATTGGTCCTGAATTATCATGCTGAGTCTCCCGCAAAAAATCTTTCAATCCATCTCTCAAAAACTACAGTAATCTTGCTATTACTGTAGTTTTCTGCTAATATATAAGACTTTTATGTACCAAGAGACCCAAGTAAACACATGTATGAAAGGGCTTACGTTTAATCATAGACGACGGTGGTTCCCCATAGCGCTTGAAGCAAAGATAA